TGCTTTTGGGGTTGTATTCATGAAGTCTGTGTCCAGCCCTATTTGCTGAAGTGTTTCTCCTATGTTTTCTTTAATAAGTTTTATTGTTTCAGGGTGTATATTTAAATCTTTAATCCATTTTGAGTTGATTTTAGTATATGGTGAGAGGCATGGGTGACCACCCCAGGGTACACAGCCTCCTCTACTCTGCTTGGTGGTCCCAGATATTAGGGTCCCAGTATGAACACTTATTCCCAGTGTTTCAAGCCTTGTCTCTCAGGTTTTGGATCCCAGGTGTGCAGGTTCCAAGGATGGGCCACTACTTGTATGTCATCAAGGCTCCCTCACTCTACCATAACTTTAGCTTTCAGTCTCTATTTGCTTTTGACCATAGTGATATTCTTGATGTTTTTGAACTGGAGTATATTTAGAATGTAGTAACATTTCCCTATGTCTAGGTGTTTTTATTTTTTATTTATTTTTTTGATGGCCAGCCAGTATGGGGATCTGAACCCTTGACCTTGGCATTACAACACTGAGCTGTAACCAACTGACCTAACCAGCTAGCCCAGTCTATGTGTTTTTAAATGGCCGTGTTTCAGAAAATCGATTCCATCATATGCAAGTTAACTAAACATTTACACTCCAATTTTTTGTTCCGCATTCTTATTTATCTTTAAGAATACAATTTTATTTTTACATGTTTAGAAAACTAGAAAATACAGATAAGCATAACTAAGAAAACAAAATCTTTTCCTACTATGCAAAGTTTTCCACTATTAACACCTTAGAGTATACATTTACAGATCTTTCTTATGCATGCATACATATGTATAATACTCTTTTGCTAAAAGGTATTCATCCTATACATTCTTTTGCATGTTGTTTTTTTCCCATCAATGATACCCACTTTTTGGATATCAGTATATATTCAGATCATTTAAAACCAAGACCTTATTTAGATTCTTTTATTGTTCCCCCGAATGGCTGTTGCATGCAGTTTGGCAAGAGTATCCAATCCAGGGCTCTGCATTTCTATCTGTCCTCTTAAGTCTCTTAAGTAGTTCTTAATTCTCTCTCTCTTTTTTTTTTTTTTCCTTTTTTGTCTTTTTTCATGTCCGGCAACGGATTGCAACCCTCAGTGTCGCGCCCACACCGGACCGGGACCGGCAACGGGATCGCAACCCTCAGCGCCGCGCCCTCACCTCGCTCAGCCAGTGAGCGGGAACCGGTCTGTATGTGGGATCCGAACCCTCGGCGGGAACGCCGCTGCACTCCCAAGCGGCGCACTGTAGCAGTGCGCCACTGGGCCGGCCCTTAATTCTCTTTTTAATCTAATTCATCCCCTTTGTTCATGCCACTGACTTGTCAATGAGACTGAGTCAGATTATTTTCTTTCTTTTTTTTTAGCATGTTGCTCTATTCCTGTTTCATATAAACCAAAAGTTAAGAGTCTAAAGACTTAATAGATTTAAGGAAAACTTTTTTTTTTAAACTGTAATACATCATGAGTGATATTGTGTATTTCATATTGTGCCAGAAGACCCCAAATATCCAGTTACCACTTCATAAATGGTGCGAATCGTGGCCATTGGATTAGGAAGATATCAGCTAGGACAATTAAAGTTTTCCCTGTGATTAGAAAACCATCTGGGGTAGTATTGCTGTAGGAATGTCCAATTCTCTATCAACCACTCACCTAATGGTTTTAGCATGAGTTGCCTGAATCAGTTTAATTAGGATCTGCAAAACAACGCTTTCCTAATGATGCTATTGCTTCTACATTTATTCCCTGGCTTCTTCCGAAAAGTGTATCATCACAGGTGGTGGAAGTATGCGGTGGTAACAACTCTGAAATCCCGACGACTAAAAACAGCAAAGGTTTATTTCTTAGTCAAGGTACATGTCAGATATGAGTTAACAATGGGATTGCTCCTGTCACATTTAAGGATTCACGCTGATGAAGTCTCAAATTCAACCCCTGCTCCCACGATTGACACACCGGGAAAGAGAATGCTAGAGGGCCTCACATGCTGAACTCAATGCTCCAGCCCGTAGTGACACATGTCACTTCTACCCATGACCCATTGACATGGCATTACCTCACTTCAAAGGGAAACACAATCTTCCAGGTGCCTTAAAAGGAAAGGATACTGTCATTAGATGTAGGACTATGGAAGTTAGAACTGGAGATCTATATGCCTTATTTTCTCAATTCAGAGACACACGTTTTCCATATTTTAACATCCCTGAAATCAGGATGCACTCCATTATCAATGGCCGTCAGCCAAGTGGCAGTTGCGACTTAGTTATTACATCTTCTTTTGACATCTTTGAGTAACATCAAGAAAACAATGGCACCAAATGCATCTTACACTCCATTATGATCAAAGAACATTCTTTGTATGATTTCAACTGTTTTTCGTTCCTTAAATTTCGTTTCATGACCACTGGTTCAGCGGTACATCGAGGTCTGATTTCCTTCTTCCACACCACAGCCTCCATTTCTCTGTTCCATGAATTCGGCGGGACAGGCAGGAGGAAGCTCTTGCAGGCCCGAGCGGGCCCCACCAGGTGTGTCCTTCTCCCCACGAGCGCCGTCCCGCTCCCCCGACCCGCGCCGCCCGCATCCCGCCAGTCCGTGAGACCGCGACCTCCAGCCCGCGCTTCCAAAGAGCGCCCGGAGACCGGGAGTCTTTTCGGAGGCAGTGCGTGCGTGCGTGCGACGGAAATCCCGCCTCCTGGCGCTTGCGGTTGGCCCTGGTCGCAGTGGATGCGGCCCGAGGACGAAGATGAGCGGGTTGAGGAGCAGGAGAGTCAGGAGGAGCGGCGAAGCGATTCCTCTTCCCCATTGGCTGTGCCCGCGGAACAGCCTCGCTGCGATTGGCTGGGCGCCGGCGGCATCCCCGCGAGAGGCACCGGGATCGCGGGCGCCGGCTGGGCCGCGGCGGCTGGGAGGCTGTGTTGGAGCGCCGGCGGGAGGCGGCCGGGCCTCTGCGCGTCAGGTCTGCGTCCCCGGGCACCGGCGGCGGGGCGGGGC